CAAGAAATGGCAGTGTTGTTATAGCAAAATAAATAACTGAATTAGATTTATATCTTGCATCAGTGTATCCAACTAAACCAAAGTTAGTAGAATTCTTAGAACAATATAATCACAAATCTATGGTTCCTCAGAGATAATAAAAGATATGTGTATCCCATTCCAATGTCTTTGGGTTTCCATTTTGTTTGATTTTTGTCCCACTAAATTTTTTCGATTTAAGGTTTTTAACAAGAAAATAATAGCACGTCTAACAAGGCCACCATAGTGGTGTTCTTTCCAAAAAAGAGTGTTAAGGAATATGGACATATCACACCACATTAGATCAATTCAAGTCAAAGTAAATTTGATAAATGTATCATCCACATTCTAGATATTTCAAGATTTATCTACATGTAAAAATTATCTAGGTGATAATGTGGGATTTATCAACAAGATAATATAATTTAGAAATATATCTTCGTAAAAGATTGTGATAGCCATTAATCTGTTAGGGGCTTTAACTATAAATAGGGAGTCACCCTACCTTCATTTTTTAAATTCTATTCCACAAGGCTTGAAATAGCTAATACCAAAAAAGAAGTAGTAATATGTATTTTGTGATTTTAAGGAATAGCCATTATTACTAAAAAAACAAACCAAATGAAAGAAAAACTATTACCTAAGTGTAAACATTCCCTCCAACCACACGAGCCCTTAAGATATGACATTTTCGGTCAAGTTGATTATCGCAAAATTTAAGATGAATCATATTTTAAATAGTATATAATATCGTTTCAAAATCGCCACAACCTAATTGTTATGGTACTCTTACCACCTGTAATGTTAAACTAACATGACTTACAAATCATTAATTATCCAAAATTAAAAGATTATTATATTTGGTATCACTGAAAATTATACATTATTTTGTTAAAATACCAAAATAACCATAATAGAATAGTTAGAAAATTAATAATCATAGTGTTGTTTAAAGATAACAATTTGTAAAATATTAGTAATATTTTATTCATTTCATAAGGTATAACTAAATTATTGAATTATCATTTATAAAAAAATATATTATTAATAGGTAAACTGACTTTTACAATATAAATTACATAAAAAAACACTTGAATGATAAAATGAAGCTAAATCTATTAAAATTATACGAAAGGAAAATAAAAAAATTAATATTATATATATAACATGAAAACATAAAGAGAAAGACCGTAATTTAATTTTGAGTTTGGTACAAATGAATATTAATTTTGAAAAAGTTAAAATTTTTTATATAAAATATTAACACTTTTAGGAGAGAGGAGATTTTTTATTCACACGTTAAAAGGGTAATATTGACTATAGTTAACTTTACAAATCATTTTAGCTTAGCAATAAAAGATTCTCACATTTTTTATTGTAATTAAATCATCTTTCAAAGCAATAATTTAATCAATTTCGATAATCGAAGAACATCATCACATCAGAGCACCAAATTCTTATCAAACACGGTGATTTGGTCACCATACATTGATGACCATGAAGTTCTAGATAATCTCCATGTACCAAATTCCACCTTGCTAATCACTGTGTTTGGTAAGAACTCTATGATCTTACATGGCAATGAAGTGATATCACCCAGAGTGATTAGATTATGGTCTTGAGAGTTGATCTAATTCTCACCCAAAAGGGTGAGAAACTTTTTTTGTTGCGATGAAGTGATCTATAAAACAATTATAGATATCTTTACCCTTTTAGAGTGTGAATAACATAACTCGATTTCTTTCAAAATTGTAATTATTATTATATAATAAGTGTTTAATTTTTCAAAACATATATTCTATGTACTTAACTTTAAAAAGTGTCATTCATGTTTGTTTTTACTTTTCTAAAAAACATTTTATTTTCTTAGAAAATTTAGTATCATTTTAATATATTTAGTTTCATTTTAGTGTATGTGTGTGTGTATGTGTATATAATACACATTATAGCAATTTTATGTTCTACATGTTAATTTAATTATTCGTAAATTATTTTTCATTTTTAATTAAATAAGTTAATTATTCATCGTGTAACTTTTTATTTAGAAGTTAGTTTCTATTGCTATTCTTACCATATCATATGGTAATATTAGTCACTTTTAACTAGAAGAAATTGTGAAAGATTACCTTCTTTATAAACCCAATTCAAAAATATCATTCATTATAATTTTAACTATTTTTAGTTAATTTTTGGCATGACATGACAACAATGCCTTTAAACAATTTCAAACAAATTAAAATGGTTTCAGTTTTTTCTATCCTCGCCATCCAAATAAAAATTTTAAAATTAGATCTCAATTTTTCTCTCTTACCAAATACTATCTTACCATCCAGCTTTTTCTCACTATCCAAAAGAACAGAGATGACATCAAAGTATGCGTTTTAGGTTCTTGTGTATATTAGTTTATATTCATAGAATCTCAAAGTTGAGAGAGTTGAAATTGATTAGATATATCAGTAAATTAAAACACTGTATGACTTTGACAAGTTAAACCTGGTTGCAAGCAAGCAAATCAATTAGTTGTTAGATATAGCATTATTGATTTTTAAACATCGTGTCACTAGTTTTTAGGTATTGTAAGATTGGTTTTTATATATTGCGTGACTTAATCATTACGTTTTTAGTTTTTAGACATTGTGTGACTAGTTTTTAGACATTCCTTGACTAGGTTTTAGGCATTGCGTAACTGATTTTTAGGTAATGCCTAAATCATACAATGCCTAAAAACCAGTCACTCAATGCCTTACTAACTAATCACGTAATACCTATTAACCAATCACACAATGTTATATCAACTAGTCACGTAATGCCTAAAAACTAATCACATAATACTTAAAACTAGTCACACAATACCCAAAAATCGATTAAGTAATGCTTAAAAACCACCATAAATACTGAATTTTATTTAACAAAATTAATAACTTCAAACAACACACTATATTTCATTTAATAGTATAATCAATCGAATATACCTACTTGACGAAGAATGTTCATAATGCTTAAAGGTTCTTTTTCATATACTAAAAATCACTTTAAAATGCTCAAAGGTTTTTTTTTTCATGTATCAAAAACTACTCTAAAATACTCAAAATATTTAAAGGTTTTAGATGCAGATTTAAACATATGGGTTGGCTTCATTAAAGGTAATTTTGTTCAAAATTAATTTCTCTTGGCTTAAAATAGTAAAATTATAGAGAGGTTTTTTTTTCAAAAATACTTTATTTATGAAGGGTATTTTTTAAAAAAACCCTTAAAACTATTAGACAATGATTAATTGAGTACTTTTAAATAAAGAATATTTAATTTCATGTCATATTAAATAGGGACGGAGCCTTCTTAAGGAATTTTTAAAATTTTTTCCATACTATATAAAATTTTTAAATTTTTTTATAAATTCTCTTAATGACCCCTTCAAAATAATTTTTTTATTTAATAATTAATGCCAATAACAAAATGATTCCATACGCCAGACTTAATTTTAAAGTTTTTCTTATTTTTTCTTTCAATTTATATTATTATTATTATTATTTATTTATTTTACTTCTATTCTATTTTCTCATATGTTCTAAATCTTTCTAGATTTTCCTCTACAAATTTCTATGAACCATCAATTATATTCTTTTTCTTTTTTTATTATGTTATATGTGGGTTCTATTTTTTACTTATCATATTTTTCTTTTTTCTATTATGTGGATTTTATTTTCTATAATTTTAATTTTAAAAAATTAATAAATTATTATGTAATTTTCAAATATAAGTTACAGTACTACACTATTGCTTAGAATTTCATCAATGTATTATTTTTTATTCAGAACAACCATTGTGTTCTAGTATGTATGTTGCAAACTTTAAGTAATATACATACAAATTGTTATTGAAGTAATTGTATTTCTTTCAATACAACTTTATTTATTATATATATATTTTAATCACTCTCAAAATAATTTTTTTATTTAATAATTATTTTTATTCTTCAAACCGTTTGATGAAATTAAAGTCATTATGGTCAGCATATTGTTAGTTAAGCCCAACAAATAAATTCTAACTTAATATGTTAAGCCTATCAAATTTAAAAAAATAAAATAAAAGTGAGTTTACTAACCCAAACCACTAAGGTTTAATATAAATCTAAACTGATCATAACATATTATATCTTAACAGTCTAATCAAATAGCCTATCATAACATATTATATTTTAATAATTCAACCCAATAACTTAATATGTTAATTAACAATTTATGAGACAAATAAAAAATAAAATGAAAGCCTCTTTAAAATACTACTCATTTCGTGTAGAATACACAAAGTAAAGAGGTAATTTATTTGCACTTGAAAAATTATTTTGTCTTCTACTATTACACGTAGAAAGTGAGAAAGACTCCTTTAATAGTTTTGTTTGATCATATTTATATGATACCATTATTATTGTTAATATGTTTTTTTTTTGTATGTTTAATATCTTATTAATTTTATTTAATCTTTTAGATGACTGAGACTTGAATTACATATAAAGTTCTCTTTAACAGTTTAGTGTTTCATTAGCCTCTATTAAAAAAAAAACCAAAAAGAATAGAATCACAATGATAATATTCAATAAATTTGAAAAAAAATATAAACCGTAATACGTAGCAATTACTATAAAAAGGTGTTTTGGAGGAATTTAGATGGGGGACTCGAGAAATTAATTATTCATTGAAGCTTAAAATAAAAAGTAGAAAAAGACTAAACCAACCTAAATAAATAAAGTATAGATTAAAGTAAATTTGGAAAAAAATTAATTTAAACTAATAAAATGGCACATGCAGGTCTCGAACCTGCAACCTTCGCGTTATTAGCACAACGCTCTAACCAACTGAGCTAATAGAACAATTGTGTTACTGGTAAAAAGTATTTTTATTTAATACATGATATGCTAGGAATTAAGAGTGGATGGAAATGATTGCGTTATCCACCTTCCGTCCCACATAACAAAGGCGCAAAATCCAAAATCTTAGCGAAAAAACACTACGCTCAAAATAATGGCTGAAGCAATAGTGAGCTTCACCCTCACAAAACCATGCATCAACAGTTATCTTCATGCTGCCAAATCGGACAGCTGTCCTTCTTCAAGATTGGTAATATTTCTCGCTATCCTTTCACACGATCTTTAAACTTTCTGTCATTGGTATTAATAAGCACATGGTTATTTGATGCATTTGAAGCTTAGGAGATGTTCAAGCACTAGGCTTTTCACTAATGGGTGGCAGCAGGTAAGTGTTTAACTGTATAGATTCTAATGCCATATTCATAAATTTCTCTATATTTTTTATTATTCTTAACAAAAGAAAGGGGAGAATTTTGTTTATGTAGTGATCGATTTGTCCAAACTTTACAGCATTATATCTTGAATTTTGTGATAAATAATATAGACTGAAGGCAGCAACAGCAGAAGAAGGGCAGCTTCAGTTAAAGTGAATGCTTTCCCAGATTGGCCTCTAATGGCAGTTTTAGTTCATAATGTTCAACAACTTGATGCACAAAGAGAAATTATCACCAACAAATCTATCTGGCATCTGAGTGAGGAAGCCATTAAAAACGTTTGTAAGTGTTTCAATCATTCAAATCGGTTAATGATTCAATCTTTCATGCATTAATTGAATTAATTATATATAACACTAAGACTTTTTGCTTTGCTTATGCTCTAGATACTTTCTACATCATGTTCACTTGCTGGGGATGTTTGTTTTTTGGTTCCACCAAAGTAAGCAAATCTGTTTTATTTAACTTTGCTTTTCTCAAATATATAATTGTTGCTAATGTTGAGTAAAATTAAGTCTAATTTATAAGAGCATGGCGCAGGATCCGTACTATGATTCCGAAGTATACAGGAAAGATGGTGGAGATGGTACTGGACATTGGGTTTATGAGAAGGTATCCTTCACTTAATTCATTGATTTCCTCCACAATGTTAAAGCAATATACAAATGTATAATTACCAGACATGAGGCAGATATATCTATGTAGCCCTTTCAGAATTGATGATATTGAAATACTAAAACTCAGTATTTTAGTTTTTACTGTGAATTCACTTGCAATTCAGTTGTTGCAGTCCATAATATGTTTTAACTGAGCTTATGGAAATGCAGCAAGAGGACATTGAAGAATCTGCAAGGGCAGAGTTGTGGCGTGAGGAGCTGATTGAGGAGATTGAGCAGAAGGTCGGAGGGCTGAGAGAATTGGAAGAAGCTGGCCGCAAGTAGAAGCTTATTGAGTTAATTTTAATGTTTATACATCTCCCCTTTTTCTCCATTATAAAGACCATGCAAACATTAGTGTATAGTGTATTTAATCAACTTTGATATGTCATTGACAGAAAGAAGCTGATCAGGAAATTAATTTACAGCAAACCTTGTTACATGCTTGAAATGAATGATTGTGGACTCGCATTTAATTCAAAAATCGATTCCAGAAAATATTCTTGAGCAGCTTATTTCTCCTGAATCCTTGTCCAAAATACAAGAAAGCAGCCGGCGTGATTGATCAATCAACATTTTTCAAAGTGCAAAATTCGATTAACTGTATTTTTCCATAGTTGGCCATTAGCTCACTGCGCATGCGATGAATGGCTTCTCCGTACCCTACATAATAAACTTTACAGCTTTTAGAAGCAGCCCATCAAGGGCCTGTAATGGAGAGAAATCAGATTTAAATTCCAAGATGAACAGATAGCAAACTTCATTTGAAATGTAATTATATTGATAGGATTATATTATTCAAATAGGTGTAGCTAGTTGTCATGTAGTTTAAACTTGTAATTATCCTTGCCTAGTAAAATTAGCTTATAAAGACTTTATGAATACAACACCAGCAGTCTGCGTTCAGCCTCCAAAAAATATTCTATCTCTTATATTTCATATGGTGAGCTCGTACAAGCACACAAAATCAATGGATCCTTTCTCCAATTACCGCTCTCTCTTTCACTACTTCTAATGGTTGATCAAATCAATCCTTCCAAACTCTACCATTATTCTTCCCAACCAACAAAATCATATCCGTAACCCAAAACGCTGTTGTTCAATTGCCCATCCAACTCACTTTAAACTCTCTCTCTCTAGGCGATGTTACCTTAACTCTCTCTGGGTTGGCTATAAACATTTTTGTTATGCTTATGGTTCAAGCCTTGCCCCTCCTGCCAAACAAGACTCCACATGAAATCCACCAATGATTCCAAATCCTACATTTCAGCATTAGACCAGACAAGATCAGTTGCTTTATTAATGAGATCGTTATCTCATCCTCAAAGAATGTATATAGTTTCCTTCATTCCATTAGTGGAAATTGCACAAGAAGCCTAGGAAAAGATCAACAAATCTATATCTTGCATGATAAGTCTCAGAGATAAACTCACATACCCGAGAGGTATAAAATTAGTCTCAGAATATTTTCAAAGTCCTAGAAGTATTTCTGATGATCTGGCTGTCTCTAGTTAATTCATTCATGCAGTGTTTTGATCTAGTTCGATCGGACCAACAGATATGCACTAATTCAACAATACCATGTTCACTTCCAATTGCATTTGTCCTACACTGAAATCTGTTTTAAGCCAACTAATCTAAACTAGACGAGGTTCAAACTGATGACTGCTCGAACAAGACGCGTACTGAGAGTCGGCCATGCAAGCTAACAACGGTAGATGTTTGCAGTGGATCAATTCTTGCAGGTTGGCTCGGAACATTTTATATGTCCTATGGGCGTCAATTTATTTTGGGTTACACAAGCTCGCATGATCCCAATCCTAATTGGACTAAGAAAAACAAAGTGTAGCTTATGAAAGAGTTTTCTATTTTAAAAATAAAAGTAAAATATTTTATTCTTAAAATTATAAAATTTTTAGATTATATAAAAAGCCCATAGAGATTTAACTTTACCCTTCAATAATTCATAAAATTATAAAGAAAAATATATCTTTCACGTTCCTTTTTCTTTTTTTAATTAGATTTCTTCTTGTGATTTTATTTATTTATATTTTTAATTTATTAAAAAGTATTTATTTTATTTTATTTTCTTTAAAACCTATACTTTTGGTTTAATAAAATTGAGCATTTTATTTTTTATTTATAAAAAATTAAAATATTACCAAATAGCTTGTTATATCTTGCAATATTTTTGTATTAAACTTACCAAAGCTATTTCTCTTTGTCACACTTTCAAATCAATTTTATTCAAAGAGTACCTTTTTATGGAAACTTTAACCCAGTGACAGAAGCTTAAAAAAGCCAAAATATGGTCAGCAGTGAAAATTCAATTTTTACTCATCAATCATTCTAATGAATGTGAAAATACATTTTTCATTGTATTTTCTTTGTTTTTTTAAATATTTCCAAACTTATTATATTAGATAATATATATTTCTGATTGAATCAATCCGATCCAATATTGTTTTCCATGAATAGAGGAGAGAATATAAAATCATGCAGAGTTGCAATGTGACCTTATTCCATTTTTTTTCCATTTCATTTCCCTTGGTTTTCTCAATCAATTTCCAAAACCTATGGATGCCGTTTTCAAAGGTCTCAAAAAATCTACACAACCTGTGGGCCAAATATGTTATCTATATTCCAGATCATTTCCAATTATATATGGATATTTTAAACAATAATAACATCCATGTTATGAATTTTTTGTGAATATCTATTCATATTATCTATATCTAAATTTGATGTAAATCAGATTAGATTAGGATTTAATCCATCTAATCTCTAAGTGTTATTTTCATCTTATAAAAAGGTTATTTGCCTATAAATAGACCTTCTTTTATTCATTTGTATACACACTTTAATAAGATTTCTTCTCTCCCCTTAAATACTTTCTTTCCCTCTAAATACTTTCTCTTATATTTCTCTTATAGTTGTTCTTTTAGATTTATTTCATAACACGTTATCAGCATGATCCTGTCTGATCTCTCAAGTTTAGAATTATTTTGTTTTCATCATCTTCAAGCTTCAAAAGGATTTCAACGATTGGGTTTTAATTCCTAATTTTAGAAAATCAAATAAGTAACTTGATATTTCTTTAGTATTTTCATTTTTTAAAAATCAACCTTAATATGGATTTTACTATTATATTGTATATATTATATTCTGTCTCTTG